GCAAAATATCGGAACCAATTACAGACCCTATCATTAAACACCATTATTAAGGATTCTGGGCGTTCAATAATTCCGCTAAACCACCATTTCACAATGGGAGAAAACGGGGCATAATCGTCAACATTTGCTTCATCAAATTTGCTAAAATACAGATGCTAACGGTATTTCATTGACGTTGTCGTTTAATTCCATGTATTATGTATAAGATTTTGTGATAACAGTGAGCTGACACGAAATATTAACGCACATATCACTGTAGACGGGGGGTGTGTCATTGTTTCACCGATGTGACGACCTCTTTCGAGTCTCGAAACAGCTTAAATAATGTTTTCCTTCACTAAAAGTAACAACGGACGTTATTCTCGTGACATATACATTGCAAGCGCATTCATGAAAATGCTAAGAAAAAAATTTAACCACCTGTTCTAGAGTTTTTTCTATAGTACATACATGGCGTGTCCGCCATGTTTGTTCGTCTAGTGGAGGCGGCCATTGTGCAGTAGATACAGATATCACGTATTTGAATGTTAATACTGATGACAAACATTCATTATTTATGCAGTGACGATATAACACATATACACGTTTATTGGTAACTTTCAACATTTTTGCTCTTCATTTTAATAACTTTGTTTTCATATATACATATAGCACTACCCGACTAGTCTGTCATACATAATTATGGGGCAGTTTTCAATCTTGTACTGACTTACTCTGGTGTTACTGGGCAAAGCTTATTGGCTTGGGTGTTTTATCCCGTTTTTCTGGTAATCCTATTATTACTTTATTCTTATCCTAATGACATCCTGTTCTCTGGATCACGGCTCCGTGACTGTCCATAACAATTAAGATGAACATTCAGTTTAAGTAAATGAATTTGTTTCGACACCACAGTCAAAGACCAAGGCTGTGCAGACTGAAGGGACTGAAAGGACGGACGGGATGGCATTTTGATGGTTAAGGAGCGTGACGACACAGTACACAACTCAGTTATTTCAATGCGTGGTGCAATATCGGGGATCCGCCCGCTTAAATAGGTCAGCGAGTCTGACGCGAGTGTAAATACACTACATACAACATGAAATATCTCTACATTATCAATAACACACATATGTGTCAGTGTTAACATTCAAGGGGAAATCAAATTATTAATAATACAGCGTATATTTATCAAGGTCGCAAAACACCCTGCTTGTTTAAAGTATTATATAAATAAACGGCCTATATATCGATAGCAGAACATTTTCTACTGAACTAGCAGGGCGGGTATCAGCTGTGTCAACACATTCATAGAGTGGTGTTTTTATTGTGCTTGGTTCATTTCACTTACAAGTATGCCTGCGGACGGTTGGAAAACATACCACTCTGATATCTATCATAATCCTAAATATCCAGCTTCATTTTCTGGGTCAAATAAGTTTTATCATATCGTGAAGAAGGAGTAATATAGATTGGGATATAGAATTAGCAGATGTATCTAATATCAGTGCAGGCAGTTATGGGGTTAGATATTTACTCATTGTTATTAACATTTTACTCGGTATTTGTGGGTTGAACCATTGATAAATAAAACCCCTGATACTGTTATCAGAGCTTTGAAAAAGATATTTCTTCAGGCAGATTTACCTAATATTATTCGATCAGATAAAGGGAGAGAGTTTGACAACAGGAAAGTGAAATATTTCTTACAACAAAAAGGCATCACTTATTATGTTACACAGAATGAAACCAAAGGGTGATTCGAACTCTTAAGACAACCATGTATAGGTACTTTTCCTATCAACAGACCTATCATTATTTAGACATTTAACAAGACTTGGTAAAGGATTACAATAATAGACCTCACAGATCATTAAAAGAGCCTGCCCCTAATGACATAACAACAGAAAATGATGCTGAAGTATGGACAGAACAATACATTGACCCATTGAAAAAATATATTAAAACTGAAGATCACACCAGCCAAAGAAAGAAACCATTCAAGTTCAAACTAGATGAACAATTGAGACTGTCCCATTTGAAACATGTATTTCAAAGGGATTATCAATGGAGAAATGGACAGAGGAAACCTTCTTTTTTTACAGACGCTATTACAGAGGTGGTATACCCGTGTACCTAGAGAAAGATATGACAGATGATCCTGTGACAGGAACATTTTATGGGAATGAGTTACAAAAAGTGGATAAACCTGCAGACACCATGTGGCGGGTAGGTAAGTGTCGAAAAAGAGAAAGAAACCTGGAGAAAGGAGGCATTGGTCAAATGGATGGGGTATCCTACAAAATTTAACAGTTGGATCCCTGAGGCCGACCTGCAAGCTATATAAGAAACAGACAGCATCGTATGTCTCATTTTGAGCTAGACCATTGTCAAGGCTTGAGAACAAGCTGGGACAAATATGTATAATCATACCAGCTTGTACAAAGCTTACAGAAGAAATAAACACAACAAAGATTCTAATAAGCTGAACCCATCATATATGTCGCAACTGAAAGTTAAGTATGTGTCTGAACTACAAGCTTGGATCAATAGAGTTAAAGCTGCTTTGAAACGACAGAGAAAGAATGCCTCCCGTCTGCAATGATGGTGTAGACATTTTGAACGTCTTCAATAGATACAATTCAGGGGCTATAGAACTAGCCTTGTATCATAACAGTGTTAGTTGGATATAGACTATCATGGAGTCAACATCTTGTTCAGAATGTGGCAAGACATTTTCTAGAAGAGATGTCTTACTGCGTCATAAAAAGCATGTCCATGGCTTATCACCCAAAACACCTGTAACACCAACCCCACCCATTAGACCAGTAACACCACCGCCGCCACCCCCACCTATGAGACCAGTTACACCGCCACCGCCACAGCCACAGCCACCGCCACCGCCGCCGCCGCCGCATTTACCAGCTGAAGCCTTCAGGTTTACAATCCCTTCTAATGTAGTGATAGTTGGTCTAAGTGGGAGTGGCAAAAGTTATTTTCTGTATAACCTATTACTGCAAGGATTAATTCAACCTAGACCTGATCACATTATCTGGTGTTATACTCAATGGCAACCCCTCTATCAACTGATCAGTGAACAGTTACCTCAAGTGAAGTTTGTACAGGGAATACCATACAATATGACCGATGAGACTACTTACAGAGCACCTCGTTTACAAACGCATGGGACAAGCGGTAGCGAAGTCAGCCAACAGAGCTCTTGGCCTCCTTGTATCAAAATACAAGGCACTTTGTGGTATGCAATACGAAACCTATACAAAACTTTATGATTCGATGGTGTGGTCTACTATACAGTATGGTTCTGCGATATGGGGACAGTACGATCTATCTTGTGTCAACGCTGTACAAAATATCCGAACCCCTAATTCACCCCTAACAACGCCGTGTCTGGAGACATGGGATGGACACCGCCAATAGTTCGTCAATGGGAGACCGTGTCTAAGTTTTATAAACGTTTAAGTTCCTTGCAAGACCACAGACTGTCAAGAAGAGTTTTTATTTGGGCTAACAACTACGTTTTTAACAATAAGAAGAATTGGAATTTTAGAGTTCATTTTAAATATAAAACCCTTGGAAAAGAAGTTTTTATCCCCACAGAAAATAATTACCACTACAGATGTATTGCCATGGAGGTCAAAGACGAAGTTTTTAAAAAGTTCTGAGAAAAGTGGGAAAGTGCAATAAATCAGGATAACAGTGTCAGAGGCAAGGGAGGTAATAAACTAAGGCTATACAACCAGTTCAAGAAAGATTTCAGTGTGGAACACTACAATAAACTCCCGATGTCAAGACAAAACAGAAAAGCTCTCGCCGTATTTAGATGTGGAGTTACACCGATAAAACTGGAAACTGGGCGCTATAATAACCTTCTGGTCAGTGAGAGAGTATGTTTAAATCGTACAGATTGTGTGGAAGATGAGCTGCATGTTCTACTTCAATGTCCAGTTTATAATGATTTCCGTAAAGAGCTTTTAACAAAATATATTGATGTGTGTCATGATTTTAATCTTCAAAATGATTATGTTAACTTGTGTTTTATTCTCGCCAGCCCTATTGTTGGACACGTTGCTGCCAAAGCCTGCAAGGCTATTTTAAACATACGGAGAGATATTTGATATACTGTATAGTGTGTTTAACTTTTGTGTGTACATTTACCTTTTATTTATTTGTATTTTAGTAATCTTTATTTGTATATTTTAACGTTTTCGTCTCTCATAACTCCAATAGGAGTGGCTTATTTAAATATTATATATATATATATATATTTATGTAATATTTGAGGTGAGACGTAAATAAAATATCTGTCTGTCTTGAACAAGCCTGAACTTGAAAACACACTTGTGTACACAACGCCTCTCGGCTAACAGCGTCTTGCATATGTGTTAGCTGGTGATAGAATACATCATATAAATATGTGATACGTATCTTAATCATATAGATAAACTCAAATTGTATTAAATATAACATGTCACAGAGAGTGACAATTGGGCTATTCCAAGCATGACGAAACTCATATATTCAAAACTACAACCCTATGACATACTACATAAACTGTATATGGTTCAGTGTTCACACAGCAACAAATCTGGACAAGGCAGTGTAACATTAGACTCGCTGACTCATTTTAAGCGCGGGCGATTCACCGATATTGCACCACGCGTTGTAATCTCATTCGGTCGTGCACCACCGATGAGGGGATATGGTTCTGTCAAATAGTTTTCATCAGTTCAGGATTAACGATACGCAAATTCAAACAACAATCGAGTTAGAAACTGCGGAAATCAAATCAATATTGTACAGAACTACGTTTATCCTTATGCGCGTATCAACCGTTGTTGGCGACTCATTCTAACCCGGAAACTCAATTTTGGGTGTGTGAAATTATCATCTAAAGGACAGGTTCCAGGATATACATCTTAGCAAAATGATTGTGAGTGGATAGACCACAGTACGTTCTCTCCTTTGTCGAAGCTGTAATGAGGAAAGAGTATCATAAATACCTTGTTCAGCGTTGGGTCCCTCTGCCATGTTGAAAGGTTAAGCTGGTTTAATGCTGAAGTCACGTACACGTTTTATATACCTGCATTTTTACGTTTGCACTAAAAATACTGTATGACGTGTTGGTGGACCAATCAGATTAGTCATACTTAGACTGTCATTTCGTTGACGTTGTCAATCAAGCAACAGAGTCTACCGGTATTTCTACTTCTTAGATTTCATTGATCAGTTCTCGCGTGTTAGATTACAGGCCCGAGCTTGACGCTCTACTCAAAGCGCTTAGCGGAAGTACTGAAATCAATCGTTCTGCGCATGCAGATTGTTTAATGCCTTGTCAGATTTTCCGTTCTGTGCATGCGCGATTTCGCGTATTTATTCCTATATTAAATGTCACCACTATTTGACAAAGATTCATAAACACATTCTCGTGATAAGTTCGAAATCATACAATGTCGCTTACATTGATGGCACGTACTTGATCCGCACGCATTTCCCATTAACTAAGACAATGATAACGGTAAGAAGTTTAGTCAAAATAATTAGGAAAGCGCAAGGCTCAGGAACCGCTGAGTATAGGAAAAGGAGGTTAGGTCTACTATCGCCTACAGTGCACTTTGCCTACAGCATTATCCAAACAATGTTATGCACAAGTGGCTGTCACTAATGAGCTCCTATTACCTTCAGTATGAATGGACCCACTATGAGAGACTGAGAAAAAAAACCTTGATACGAGGGCCATTCAACATATAACCAGCCTAAGCTATTTATCAGATCGTAACGGTTGCATGTTTGTCACGTGCTGTGCACCAATGTATGTCACGTGCATAGACAAAGTTTCACTGAGGAAATTGTATTTGAAGTCACACACGTGATCTATAAAGATGGCAAGGGTAGATTGTGCCAAATTTTCGTCAAAGGTTGAATACAGGGCTGTTATTAGGTACCTCTACTTAAAAGGGAAACCGCGAAAGGAGATACATGATGAATTGTCAGATGTTTATGGTGACAGTGCACCTTCGTATGCACAGGTAAAATTCTGGGTTGCAGAATTTAAGAGGGGTCGAGTGAACCTGGAAGATGAGCCACGCCCTGGCAGGCCTGTAGAGGTGACCAATGACCAAACCAGTGAAGCTGTGTGAGACAACTGGTTGTCAAAGACAGGCGAACGAAGGTGTCAGAAATGGCCAAGACCTTGGACATTTCAGAGGGAAGTGTCCATACCATTTTGCATGATCGTCTGGGTATGAGGAAGCTGTCTGCCCGATGGGTCCCGAAATGTCTGAGTGATGATCAGAAGGCTGTACGTGCGTCAATGTGTCAGGCACTTTTGACGCAATGCAGTCGGGATGCAGACAACTTTATGGAGAGAATTGTTACTGGTGATGAAACCTGGGTACACCACTATGACCCAGAAACCAAAGAACAGAGTAAGCAGTGGACTGGCTTTGCTTCACCCCGGCCCAAAAAGTTTAAGACTCAACCATCGGCTGGCAAAGTCATGGCAACCATCTTTTGGGATACCAAAGGGGTCTTGCTCATTGACTACTTGCCACGTGGCAAGACTATTACAGGAGTGTACTACTCCGATCTCCTGGACCGTTTGCGGACTGCTATTCTTGCCAAACGTCGTCCAACATGATAATGCCAGAGTGCACACCTGTCGACTTGCGGTTGCCACAGTGAAGCGGAACGGGTTCAAAGTATTGCCTCATCAACCTTACTCACCAGATCTGGCACCAAGCGACTACTTTCTCTTCCCAAACTCGAAGAAAGAACTGCGTGGACGTCATTTCCGATCCGATGATGAACTCACGACAGCAGTGGAGGGGTGGTTACACGAACAACCCCATGGTTTCTATCACAACAGGGTTTTAGCTCTCACACAATGCTGAACCACAATAGTGGTTATGTGGAAAAAGAAGAAGTCAGGAGCAGTAGCAAATAGGTTAGGCTGGTTATATATTGAAATGGCCCTCGCAAGTGATAACAATTTTATTTATACTTTGCAACAAGAAAAACATTACAAATCATGACATCAAGACATCACTTGATATGACCATGTCTCACTCATTAAAATAGCACATCAGCAGCATCAAGGAATTCAAGGGGTTTTTTTCTGTCCATTTGATAGCTAATCTTTCAGCCTCTGCAGTCTCTGGTCAAGTTCAACATAGGTACCCGGTATCGACACACTTCCAGTGTACACAGGTCTGACGGCGAATTAAGTGTTTAAGAGGTCGCCTTCTGCCTAGGCAATTTCGGCTGACCTGTCCCTCTTTGGGACTCCTGTGTGTGAGTAGGGTACACATATCTATTGTGAGTTTGGTGTTCACATAATTTCTATTTTTGTATTGATATGATTTCTATTTTCTTATATTGACATGATTTCATTTTTATCCTTGGCTGCTCTGTTTATATACGTTCGAGTAGCTGTCCATCTCTCAGAAATAGAGTTATTTTGGCCTTCGCTATTGCATCGCTTGGCTTAAGGAGATCTATGACAGATAGCGGATCTAACTGCAATTCTTGTTTTAACCTAGCCTGGGCTGGGGCATGGTCTTGACATTCTAGTAACACGTGATCAATGGTTTTAGCCTGATTGCAAGATGAACAAACCTTGTCATAGTGCTTTTTGTGACCGAGTCTGTGGCGTGAGATAGCAATTTCAATTTTTCTTTCATTTGAGTAGAGTTTGGCTTTTGTTGGACCTTGGGTTGAATTTTGTATAGCCATCTGCCGATCTTACTAGCATCCCATTGGGCTTGCCATCTGTCTGCTATGGAGGCTTTGATTTTGCTTTTTATCTCTAGTTTACTTAAGGGAATAGGCTGTGTATCCGCTTTGTCTAGAGCTAGCTTCGCCAGTGAGTCTGCTTTTTCATTTCCATGAATATCTATGTGAGAGGGGATCCAACACAGCTCCACCTGTTGCCCTTGGTCCGATAGTTTTGTATATTCGTATAGAATATTGTTGACTGTGTTTGACCTGGAGTTTGAGTTTGTGCCACTGATGGCCTGAAGTCCACTTAGCGAGTCTGATCGGACGACTGCCTTTGCTTCCGGAAGTTCCGGTATGAGTTTGAGTGCATGATGAATTGCCTCCAATTCAGCCGTGAATACTGACTGACCATCAGGCAAGCGAACTGAATGTGCTTGAGGTTTGGAGCTGTTGATATGGATCCCGTAACGAGCACTGTTGTTGATAGGATTCTTGGATCCATCAGTGTATATATGGGCCCAGCTGTCCCAGGTAGTTTGAATTTTAGTGATAGCTACTGATCGTAGTAGGGTTGGGTTTTCTTTTTTAGTGCCTTCTGATGTTAAAGCAGTGTCAACTTTGGGAGTTTTTAAAGTCCAGGGAGGGTGTAACCCTTTGTAGTGACTTTCTGGAGGCTGAATGTCATCACAATTGTGACTTCGAATGAGTTCACGTACTAATATCCCCAATTTTTTATATCATTTTCCAGTCTTAGAAAGTGATCTAGACACGAGTGTCCCTTCCTGAAGCCACTTTGGTCAGGTTTTATGTGGTTGCCAGTTTCAAGGTGATGCATGAGCCTTATCGTAACCATGGCTTCCATGGCTTTGCACATGTTTGAGGTGAGTGAGATCGGTCAATAAGAGTTTCGTAGGGCTTCGTCTTTACCTTGCTTTAGCAGCGGGATAACTGCAGCATGTTTCCAAGTTTTTGGGACTTCTCCTTTGGACCATATCGTGTTATACAACTTGGTGAGTAAGCCTTTGGTTTGATCAGGTAGCTTTTTTAAATATCTCGTAGCTGATTGTGAAACATAGATTTTTCCTTCATATTTTATTGCTAAAATCCCTATTACTCACTGTACCTGCATAATTATATGCTGGCTTCTCTCTTCTCATGAGAGATACTCAGGTAAATACATTGTAACAACATAACACGATCCGAGAGTTGCAAGTTTCATCTTGATATGTTGTTTGAAATTTTTAACCTGTAACGGATAGTGAGGTGAGGTGAAATTGGGTTTAACGTCGCGTCCAAGATTATTGCACTTATATAGCGACGTTAACGGATAGTGAGTGGACTAATCTATTTGTCAGTGAGGGATGTATTATTATTAGTGTAGGCAAACTACCACACCATGCTACAATTTATGTAGCCAAAGTGACTGTAGGCGATAGTAGACTCCACCGAAAAGGATCAATACTTTCGCAAGTTATATAATCGTCAAATAAGCAAACGAATATCAACCAGCTTTAAAACTTATTTTTGTAGAAGGTTATCTTGGTGTATATTGCCAGATACTATATGCATACATATTTTGCCGATATTGCTTATTTTAAAGTTTTAAGGTTCTTCCGCCTAATTGACGGGATTCCACTTTCACATTTGTACATGACACTTAAGAGGTGTCCTGTAACTGTAAACAGATTAATTTCAAATTCCAAACTGGTGATGTCTATTCAGACTAATGCTTAGTCCCTAAAACTGTATAATTTTGATAGAAATAAGTAACTTCATTTCAATTGAACAGGAGTCACAGTCATATGGGAGATTGCGAGATGAACCTATTCTATGGATATCTAGGCTGCCACTCAAATCCATCCAAACGGGACCCGAAAGCTTAGTATTCGCTGTATAGTCATATGGAAGTGGAAGATGAAAGAAAGACTGAGAGATGGGTTGAAAAGAAATTAAAGAATAGTTGGAAAATTACTTTCCTTGAAAGACTTGTCAGAGCCATCAGATATATTGGTTACTTTGGAAATGGACCACTCTTCAAAACTATTCTAGAGAAAATGAAACAGTTAGATCCTGACATGGATCGCAATGAAATGGATAATAAAATCACTCAGTGGATGAAACCAGTGGTCAAAGATATCTCTCTCATGTGGACTTATCACTGGCTGAAGATTTAGAACTGATCAAACAATGATGAACAAGATAATGTCTCACTTTACTATACCAAGTCTTGTAAAATATCTAAGTAATGATAGGTCTTTTGTACCTATACATGGTTGTCTTAAGAGTTCGAATCACCCTTTGGTTTCATTCTGTGTAACATAATAAGTGATACCTTTTTGTTTTAAGAAATATTTCACTTTCCTGTTGTCAAACTCTCTACCTTTATCTGATCGAATAATATTAGGTAAATCTGCCTGAAGAAATATCTTTTTCAAAGCTCTGGTGACATTATCAAGGTTTTTCAGTTTTTATTGGTTCAACCCACAAA